AGACAGAACTATACGCTTCAACGCAGCGTATTGTTGTCCTTTTCTTGCTTATAAAATGGCGATTACGTAAATAATATTCACGACAAACCGTGATTTTTGAGAAAAAAATGTTTTTACAGTTTTACGAATGAAAAGTGTTGCCGCGGCATTTGATTTTGAACTATTTGTGTTCTTTATAAAAGCATCGAAGGCATTGTTATATCTTCATAACACAGAATATACGCAATACTTATTGTTATATTAAGTGTACATATGCAGCGTGCTTGAATGTCAAATTGTGACTACTAATCAGTGTTTCCACTTTAATGATTTCCTTTCCCCATGCCTCAATTCAGAGTTCCCCTTCTTAGGGCATTTTTCCCCTCAAAAATGATTCTGCTGTAGTTTTTAGATATGGCACTAGTGTAGTAACTGAAGAAAAAAAAGGTCTTAATCTATCTTATTCTATAACATATAAATAAAATATATAAAATCTGCACGTGTTGCCACAGTTTCTTTTATACGGCAACAACACTCTAGTCCACGGTATAATCCATAAAAAATTTGTTCCATGCCGCATTATTTTAGGCTAGGCTTTACCCATAATTTCCCACAATTTCCCCTTTTTCTTCGCCTCTGGACCCTGATTTCCCCTTAAAAGGGGAATTTCCCTTCATTGTGGAAACACTGCTACTAATTCGGTACATCAATTTTTTGAGCCCACAAGAGTAACATCTCATCCAGCCACTTGTTTACGATCGCTAAGTTGTCTCAATAAAAACGGGCTGTTGTGCGCTTATTTGAAATGACTAATACCGCGAAGAAAATTTGTGCGTTATTTAACTAACTTCATCTACTTGTACTCATAAACAACTTCACAGTTATACTTACTGACGGCAGCGCGGCTGGTGGCTGAAAAATGAACTATAAATTCAACGATTTTAAATACCCTAGATACCTACACCACGTGCGCTCAAAATGTGTCCCGATCAAGAAGTGCTTGAACACGACTCAAGCACTTCTTGGTTCACAGTCACTCGCGGACCGTTGAAAAGTTAACATGACCCTTAACTCCGTGAAAAAATGTGAAATAAATACTTAAAGTATGTAAAATGTCGTTTTTTCGACAGGTATATAATCAATATTTGTTCATTTAACGCATTTGAAGCAAATTTTGTTTTAATACTTAGTATAAACTGATTTAATAGAATATATTTGTTATGTTCGAATTCATGGTCGGTAATATAGCCATCTCTTTTCCTCGCGGTCCATACCTGCTATATTGCTGTGGACGTAGAAGCAAAGAAATAAGGTCTATATTCTTCCGCATATAGCAATAAGTCGTATAATTTTACGAGCTTACATATCGGACTGTCATAACTTTTTGACGCATGCGTTTTAAGTAAGACCTTATACAGTGTGATTCAAAGGTGATTTTCAATGTTTAAATAATGCCTTATATTGTTTAGACTACGCGATCATCTTACGGAGCTCCGTGGATCGTCCAATGTACCTTTTGGACAGGTTTCGGGCATGATTTTGTTGGTGTTGCTGTATCTAGGGTATTTAATACCGTTGTATAAATTCTACAAATTTTCAGGGACAAGCGGGCTAGTGCTTAAGTACGTAGCAATCGTTTTCCTTCTCTTTAACCTCCATGGAGTTTTTACTTGACAGTTATTTTAAAGACTACTAAAACGTTAATTAACACTAATTACCGTTTATAAGTATACATTTTTTAATACACTGTTAAACAGTGTTTAAATTTTTGTGAACGTTTATAAGTAAGGCTGTTACTTTGTTAATAAATATAAATATGTGAAGCAGTATGACCTTTGAGACAGTTGAAGATTTCTAATTACTTCTCAAACGGTAATTAAAAGCGTAAACGCTAATTACTTTAGTTAGTATCTCTTATCTATTAGACAAGTCCGTCCGTCCGTCCGTCTGTGGTGCTGTTTCAGCGGCCAAACCGTAAGAGATAGATAAAGAGAATGTTTAAGTTATAAGTTAAGAATAGTCTGATAAGACTACAAACCGGATTTGAGTAACGTAGCACTTCCGGTTTTCGAGAAATCACGAATTTCAAACGAAACGACACAAAATCTCCGAAGTTCTCAATTAATTAAATACATTTTTTTTTATATCAGGTTTTGGTGAACATTTGGTTCACTGGTTTGCTAGTTTATAGTTAAATATTTATGCGAGACTGTGAAATGAACTAATTCAGAAAATCAATATGCTGTAAATTTGACAATATGAAAAATAAAGTACCAATTGTGGGCATCTGCATTTAATAACGAATATTGGCAGAGCTTTAACTATTCTGGGAGTGCAAAATAATTAATATTTTTTGAGAACTTTAAAAAGAAAACATTGGTTTGAACAATTCAATCTCTAAAGCTAAACTTAAATTTGACAACAGTGTATCCCTGTCATTCTCTATACAGAATGAAAAGGACAGACTGGTCTTAAATTTAGTTTTAAGTTTAGAGAATCCTGCCAGAATACCATTAAATAGAAATTAATCTTTTGTTCTACGGTTAGGTGACCGAATGTACAATGTATAAGTCGCGACACTAAATTCTAGCGCTGACCGTTATTGCGCAGAAGTAAAAATGAAGATGTCTTGGGGGGAAAACAAGGTGCGCGGGTGGGCGTGCGTTGCGCCGATTGGCTCTCCAGTCGTACCCATGCGCTAATACCCCCATGCGTTTTATTCAGCGCTAGGCCGTATACAGAAAGATAGGCGAAAGCCGATCGGCGCTTATCGGCGCCTATCGGCGCCGATCCTTCCTACATAAAGGAAGCCGATTAAAGCAGATCAAGCAAAATGTCGGACTCATCGGACGATGATTTGGTTTTGTTAGAAAATGTTTATTTAAAAATGCGAAAAACAGCTATACATCCTATAAATAGAGAAAGGAAACGTTTCGGAGAATACCAGCATTTATTTGTAAAAAAAAAAATTTGATGAACAAAGATTTTATACATATACAAGAATGATTCAAGAAACATTTTATTACATTTTGGATTTAGTGAAAAACCGTTTGATGAAAAATTGGGGCAATTGGCATAAACAACCAATCCTTCCAGAAGAAAGATTTGTTGTCACCATTCGGTAAGTACGAAACAAATAATTTTAGCGCTTAGTTAATAAAAGATAAAGTTATTAGATTTATAAAAAGATTATATCTTAGATTGATTTAATCTAAGGATAATAATTCAAATACAAATTATTTATTATTCGGACCAGCGCGTGTCGGCGCTTATCGGCGCTTATCGGCTTTCGGCTTTCGGCTTTCTTTCTGTATACGGCCTATGCCTTAGTGTTATAGCTACCGTTAATAAACTGACTTTGTAATTAAAGCAACCTTTCTGCAAAGTGCAGAAATGGCATTTTTTTTAATTTGCTCTTCACATTATAGGGGTAATAATATAAATGGGGTTATATTCAACAATGTATTTTTTCTACATTGAATGTAATCATTTAATGTACTGCTTTAAAGAAAAGTATTTTATTTTTCTTTCTTTGGTGAATCACTTGTTCAGCTTTAGACATGTATTTTGAAAATATTATATCTGCTATGGAAATTAAGCGATTTCTGCCTGTCTGAATTGCCGATCTGTTTAATTTAATAAAATTATGTATTCTTCTAAAAGCTACGCCATCGGTTCGCAAATCTACGGCGGGAGACCTTGTACTGAGAAGAACCGGCAAGAAACTCAGCAAGGGCTGTTTTTTTCTCCCTGTATTGTATACAGAGCCGTCAAATTGAAAAATGACTTCAATATGAAGTAACTCATAAAGTCACTTTCCATTACAAATGCTAATATAATAAAAATTATGACTATATAAAAAACTGGTTTAACAAAGTTTAGGAACGCCGTGTCCTGCTGTTTAGGCAAAAAAAAATTCGTTAATATTGTAGATCCGGCCCTGTTGATGTGAAACATCTTTTCACTCGCTTTCGGTCGGGAGTGATTTCGTAAAATGGAACGGAAGTGTGTAACAGGAAGTCGCGAAAGCGCGCGCTATTTGATTTGATTTTACTGCAAGTTCTTTCTGAACTTTCTCCTGTTCTTCTGTTTTTCTACATGAATCTACTGTTTATCTCAGAATACGATTATCTTTTTTAAATTGATTGTTGAGTTGTATTTATCACCATTAATAATTTACTTCTAGCTCTTTCCATATATCTACTGTTATTCCTATAACGCCTCCCGATTTTTAAAAATCATACCTTGCAACACTGCCTGTACTATATAGTTTTCGTTGTAGTATTCACCCACATCTAGAGTTACTATTTCATAAATTTGAAAAGTCCTGACGAAATGCCGGACATTTCGATAGAAGTCCGGACATTTTAGTCGCAAAATGCAAACATTACCAACTTAGTTACAGTGATATTATACGCGTGGTAGCAGACGCTCGCATCGCGAGGGGGGTTGTTGATTTTTAAAGATGATTTATATTTTGTTTTGAATTAATGAGAACTTAAAAAATAATATTTGACTTATTTGTCTCTTAGGTTTTCACGCACATCACTCATTAAATAAAACTAGTTTTCACTTTATTTATGGACGTTTCGCAGCCTTTTCAGCTCTGTCTGTCTTTTTAGGTCCTTTTCATTATTCTGACGCTGCGAAACGTCAATAAATAAATAAAGTTCTGCATTAATCCGTTAAAACTAGTTTTATGAATATTTGACTTCTTATATAGCTTAATAAGTAGTTTTACTCATATTCCATCTAATAAAAAAATCTGGACAAATTAATAATCCAACAAATTAATAAACCGGACAAATTAATAATCCGGACAAATTAGTAATCCGGACAAATTAATAATCCAGACTAATTAATAATCCGGACAAATTAATAATCCGGACAAATTAATAATCCGTACAAATTAATAATCCGGACAAATTAATAATCCGGACAAATTCCGGACATGTCCGGACAAATCAGGACGCATGGTAACCCTACTCGCAGCGGAACAAAACAAAAGCGCTCTGACTCACCTTTGCCCAAGAACCCAGTGCCACCGGTCAGAAAAACCACTTGCTCCTTATAAAACTGCTGGATCTCCGATGATCCTTTACCCTTAGTGAGGCGTCTCTTTTCTTCTTCCTTGGCGTTCAGTTTGTCCTCTTCGGCGTAGTAGCTGTCAACTCCGTTGGCTGACACGAACTCGTGATCCTCCGAGTAGTCCAGTATCGGTGCTGTAGGGTTCATGGCTTGGTTCTCCACGTCAGCTATGCGGACGGAGTTCTCCAACTCCTGGAGGGGAGATTCAATTAGAGGGTATCAAAGTCTCGTCCAGAAAAGTTCTTATTTACATAATAAATAATAAATATAAATAAATATTTTCAACACACACCAATAGGGATGATGACTATTTTTTTTTCTTCGTTTATAGGGTAGACTATCAAAAAGTATTGGACTCGTATTTTTTCTTTTTTCACATAATATAAACATTGCAGAGATATATTGATTTGAAAAGTCGCATGACGTCACGTTTTGGTACAATTTTCACTTAAAAGTGACGTCTCGTACTCCCAAACTTTGACGCGCTATAACTTTGTCATTTTTTGGTTGATTGCCCAAAGAAAATATACGTGTCTATTATTTTTTGATCATCTAACTGACGGACTAAATAGAATATCGTTTACTGTACCCCGTCATCACACCAATTAGCCTAGCCCAAAGTAAGCACTACAAGGCTTGTGTTAGGGTAACGGATAGAATACTAATATACTGTACATATTTAAGTATATTTTTATAGAAATACATATCAAACATCCATGACTGGAGTACAAATGCTCGTATTCATCACACAAACATCTGCCCCCACCGGGATTCGAAACCGGGACTCGAGGCGGCGACATCATGAAACCCGGCGTAAAACCACTCGGCCATGGAGGTCGTCAATAGGTAGAAAGGTATACATGCAACCTAGATTAAAACAAAATGTAACGTGTTTCTTTCAACCTTTTTCTTGACTTCTATCTCGAGCTCCTCCGTGCTTCGGAAGGCACGTTAAGCCGTTGGTCCCGGCTGCATCTGCAGTCGTTAGCACCCGCCAATACGCACTGGGCCCGCCTGGTGGGTCATGGCCCAATATCCCTATTCCATCCATAAGGAAGGCCTGTGCCCCAGCAGTGGGGACATTAATAGGCTGATGATGGTGATAATGATGACTCGTATAAGACCATACTCACATGCAAGTTATCTTGAAGCTCTCTACTCAAACTCCGTATGTTCTCCAGTTCCCTGATCTGCTTCTCCGTGGGCTTGCCGTACACGTCGATGTCAATCTTCTCCCCTCTCGCCTGCGCTGCTGCCCACTTCTCCATCTTCTCCCTGGTCATATCCGTGGGGATGAGCGGGCAGGTGTCCATTGAGTGATGCATTATACTGCGGATGAGGTGAAAAACAAAACATAAATAAGACAGAACCAACTAGAGACTTTATAATATATAACTAGTCACTCGCCCGCCTTCACTTCACTTCGGTGTAGAGCTGAAGTGTAGACTACACTTTTTGTTCTCAGGCTTGTATTATACACAATGACATTCATCTATGATCCTTCTTATACCTGCATGCGAAGTCTCAGCCCGATCGGTTTAAAATTGACAAAGTTTCATACAAACTTTCATTCCCTATTTTATCCCCTTGGAGGTATAATTGATCAAAATCCTTTCTAAGCGGATGCCTACGTCATAACATCTACCTGCATGCCAAATTTCAGCCTGATCCGTCCAGTAGTTTGGGCTGTGCGTTGATAGATCACTATGTCAGTCAGTCACCTTTGAGTTTTATATATAGAAAGACTAGCGGCCGCCCACGACTTCGTACGCGTGGAGTTAGTTATTTGCACATACTTTTTGACCGAAAACGGGGTTTATATCTAAAGATACATTATTAGTACACCTCAACACCATCTATAGATCATACATGTTAAATTTCAAGTCTCTTACTTCAAAAACGTAGGAATTTCATACAAATAATAACAACATTCAGATATGCGTCGTTAGATTACACGTTGTTACAGAATGTGTTGCAGAAATAAAGGTTCACTGCTCGCTCCCCGTAGGTTATAGCGTGATAATATGTAGTAGGCTACATATTATCACGCTATAACTATATATAGCTATGTTGACCCGACTTCTTAATAATATCCGTGCCAAATTTGAAGTAAATCCATGCAGTACTTTTTGAGTTTATCCCGGACATACAAACAGACAAAAAATCTAAAATCTATATTTTTGGCTTCGGTGTCGATTGTAGATCACACCCCAAGAATTCGTTTAAAAAAATATTCAATGTACAGTTTTGACTTTCCTACCATCTTAATATATATAAATCTCGTGTCACAATGTTTGTCCTCAATGGACTCCTAAACCACTGAATCGATTATAATAAAATTCGCACACCATGTTCAGTTCGATCCAACTTGAGAGATAGGATAGTTTAAATCTCAAATTATAGTCGCAATTTTAATTTATTGCAAATTATTACTTTTGGGCGGTACGAAGTTCGCCGAGTCAGCTAGTTTTATTATATGTATAGATGATTGACTCTTTAAGAGTCCGTGGAGTGATGCATTTTACTGCGGATGAGGTGAATATCATGAATAAGACAAAACCAATTATGGTAGAGGCTTTATATATAATCAATGCGCTATGTGACGATTTTACAATATAAAATCGCTCTTATCTCGCAAGTTAGACACTTAATCAATAAAAAAGGGGTGTTTTGAAAACAAGACATATTAAGGTGGTTTTCCAATTACAGAGCATAATGCGACTCAGTGGCACACAATGCCGAATTATGCTGATGCTTAATCGGAACGTGAATTAGTTTTCAAATGCACCAACAGAGTGCGCTAAGTTCAGTATTGAAGAAAAAGTCAATGTTTGTACCTTCATCCATATTTATATTTAATGTTTTAACACAGTTTGAATTAACTTTCATTATTTTAAAAAAAACTATAATGAAACGAAAGTTTTAATAATTTTTCAACAATAAATAATATTACTAACGATAACATATAAATAAAACATTTCGATCAATGCCAACTTAAAGAAAAAACACTTGTTAATTTTCTGTCTCTGAGTTGGTACGATTGCACGCATCACACGAAAGTATTACTTTTGAGAGTGCTCGATTGTGCGAAGCGTTGCTGTAGTTAAAACACTAAACGTTAAGCATTATGCCGCATAATGCGCTATAATGCTGTAATTGGAAAGCTACCTAAATTATAAAGTCAGTGTATTTTATCATTTATTTTTTTGTATATATATCAAAAAAAAGAAGTTAAAAAATTATTAGTACTGCTGTCCGTTGGTCTGTGCACTTGTTTGTCTGCACGTTTAAGAAAAATATACGCAATTGATTGTAATAAATCCTTTTGAATTAATTTCCACTTATACTGAGGATGAACTCTATTTCTTATCATAATTGAACTGATAACCGCTTTAAAAATATTAATGAAATGGAATTTATTTACTAAGTTTCTGTTTCGTGAAAAAAGTTTTTTCAATAAGTTTCTCTTCTAGTAAAATAATTTCAATTTGTAATTTTCCAAATTTTTATTTTTATTTTGCTAATGATGTCGAAAAAAAACTCAACATTAAGTTAGAAAATAAAATAACCTATTTAAAAAAACACCTATCTCTAATAGACTTCAATGGAATGACTGCCTTTTCGTAGAACAATTTATCGGGCAAGTGGGTCAGGGTCACTGTACTATCTATTTTGTGCACAGAACACAGAAATAGGTTAAAGGGGGGATCATAAACCGTTTGTACGGGAACCGATGCCGCCGGTTCTACCCCCCACTACATTTCCACCTAATAGATAATAGCCAATCAAACGACGCGACATCCAACAATAGAACTAATCAACGCTAACCCAAGAGCAACGACGGCATTAGAAGCAAGCTTTGATCAAGTTATGAGCATTCGCTCGCACATAACTGTGGCGCGGCTACCCCGCCCACAAAGCCTTTTCTAACCTCTGCGTTCTGTGATTTTGTGCCGAGTACGGAGGTCATACATGAGGCAGCAAAGTTGTTCGTAGACACAATGTAATTTAATGTTTACCACAGTTTTAAGGAAAAAAACAGCCGCGCACAATGAAATATCGCAAGGTCTTGCACACTGAGGAAAACCTTTTGCCATCAATAATTAAAATCCTATCGAGATAACCAATCATCTATTTTCAAGGTCTTAGGGTGCGGCCAGAGTGCACTCAGATTCAGATTCAGATTCTGAAAACAAGCGCGAGAAATAAACAGTGTAGTCGAAGGGTACGGCCAGAGTGCACTCCTGATTCAGATTCAGATTCAGACTCAGAAAACAAAGCGCGAGAAAAAGCAGGCAACCTGCTTAGTGCACCCGCACCGCCGCACCCTATGGGTACGGCCAGAGTGCACTCAGATTCAGATTCAGATTCCGAAAACAAAAGCGAGAAATAAACAGTGTAGTCTCGGTCTCAAACGGTCCACGATCACTCTTTCTAACCTTTTTCTGTGTTCTGTGCTTGCAACCGATCTATGCTGCATAATTATATGACGCAAATTAGATTCTTAAAATTATCGAATTACAAATGTTAAATCAACATTCGATGTCTATCCAACTTGCTGTAACTGTTTCTAGAGTGTCACAATATTGATTTTGATAATGTTAGTTTGACAAAGTATACAAAACGTTTGTAAACGCCATTTTGTTTGGAGATATTAAATTAACAACTGCGTTACTTCATAATAGAAAAAGAGTTACAAACATAAAAATAAACATATCGTTTTAAAATTTTACAATAAAAGTACCATGTGACCATGTTGTACCTTGTGTCACAGTCATTACTCCAATTTAAATGCTTCAATGTATATTTAATGATAAAATCCCTCATTAGAGGCAAGAACATTAATTTCTATATTACTAACAAATTATCTTACCTAAACATCGCAACATAACTTGCAAAGCATGCAGTATGGTATACCTGTTTGAGACATTTAAATGTCTGTCACTCTATATAAATCTCGTTGATTTCAATGTTGACTTTGATTGGATTCAATCGGTTTTAAATGTATAAGATTAATTATTGATATGTCAAGATTAAG